TGCAGGAGCCTCCCGAGCTCGGCGTTGGACAGCGGGGCGGGGCCTGAATGGGGCGAGTCGAGCTGCTTCTCCTAACCTGCAAAGGCTCCCCACTTCCCCTCACGATTCCTCCGACCTCAAGTCCCACTATCTCCCCTCACCGTCCTGATTGCTCCTGGAACGCAACAGGCGCGCTCTCACCTCCGGGCCTTTGCACTGGCTGTGCTTCTGCCGGGTGCACCGTTCTCCTAGACACGGGGGCATTCTTCCTCATGTCTTTCAATTCTTTCAAAATGTCTAATCTATTGAGATGCCCTCCTCACTAGCACTGTTTTCACCTAATAAACTGTTGGGTCAGCTCCACAGCAGATGAGATGTTTGTATTTTGTTTCCGGCTAGACTCATAACAGTGCCTGGCACACTGGCATCCCCTAAACAACTGTTGAATGAATACAGACAAGAGACCCATTCCTGGATCAAAGGAGGTCCCGGCCCAATCAGGCATTTCTTTCTTTCTCTACTCAACAAATATCCATTGAGCACCTGGCTGCAAGGACACAGCATGGGAAACGACAGTGAAAAGGGTGGTCTGAAATACTACTCTCTGGCCGGAGCAAACACAGATGGGTTCAGACACCGCTAGTTGCTTGAGGTTGAGCCAGAGGATGGAACCCTAAGGTGGCCCTGGCTCTTCCTGGGGACACAGTCAGAGCTTCCGAGGGGAGAGGGCATTAGCCAGGTGTTGAGAAAATAAAAAGTGCCGCCCATGTGTAAAAGGTCTTGAGTGGCCCTGACCGGTTTGGCTCAGCGGATAGAGCGTCGGCCTGCGGACTGAGAGGTCCCCGGTTCGATTCCGGTCAAGGGCATGTACCTTGGTTGCGGGCACATCCCTGGTGGGAGGTGTGCAGGAGGCAGCTGATTGATGTTTCTCTCTCATCGATGTTTGTGCCTCTCTATCTCTCTCCCTTCCTCTCTGTAAAAAATCAATAAAATATATATATATAAATATATATATAAATTTTTTAAAGGTCTTGAATGTAAAAGGCTAAGGAGAGGAATTTGTCTGCCAGCCAGTGTCTTGTCTCCCGCAAGGCTCAGGGGACGATTCCTGTTCTGACCACCAGAGTGCGCACTGGCCCCATCACTGGGAATCCAGGAACTCTCAGATCCAGGGAGGAGTAGATCCTTTGCCTAAAACCTCTCATGCCCAGCTACTGGCTCACTTCACCAGCCGACATTCATTCTTTAATTCTGCAGAAGTGTATGAAGTACCACCCAAGAGGCCTTGGAGCCAGTAGGCTCATGTTCAAATCTCACAAACCACACTGGCTGTGTGACCCTGGGCAAGTTGCTTAACCTCTCTGGGCAGGTGGCAGAAACTGCCTCCCAGAGCTTAGATGAGACTTGGGACACACATGGGTAGCCACAGCACCTCCTTGGTCTTCAGTGGGCCCTGCTGTCTGCCCTGAGGTCATCTGCCCCTTACCCATCCCCTCTCCAGCTCAGCCTCATTGGCTCCTTTGGGGTGCGCCCAGCTGGATCTCACCTCAAGGCCTTTGCATTGGGTATGCCCTCTGCTGGGAGTGCCCTTTCCACTGTCCTTTCTCAGGAGATTGTCCCCACCCCTTCATGGGGGAGCCCCATCCCCCAATGCATCCTGCTGCTCAGCACCCTGATCTCTTCCACTACAGCCATCCCCTAATCCAGGAGTTAGCAATGGTGTCTCCCAATATGTGAGGCCAACACCCAACATACAGTACATGGTCAACAGTTTTGAGTAACTGAACATTAATGAGTACCTGCTGGGTGCCAGACCCAGGCAAAGCTCTGGCCAGGCAGTGGGAACAAGAACACATGGTTTCCATGTTCTAAAACTACGAGTTCAGGCCCTGGCCGGGTGGCTGTTGGTTGGAGCATTGTCCTGTACACCAAAACGTTGTGGGCCTGGCCAAGGTGGCACAGTCTGGACTGGGCTTCTACAGACACCTCCAGGCCTCAGGGTCACCTCTTCAGAGACCCCACAACCTTCCTGTTCCCAGAGTCTCCATACTGCCACCTGTCTTCACACGTTGTTCACTCCCTTGTTTGTGTCCAGCCTGGCAGGGACTGTATCGTTGTGTCAACACACTGAACCCAAAGGTCCACCTGTATTGGCCTATTGCTGCTGTAACAAATCACCACCACTTACTTGGTGGCATAAAAAACCACAAGTCTTTCTCTTCCAGTTCTGGAGGTCAGAAGTTCAACATGGTTTTTGCGGAGCTAAAATCAAGGTATCAGCAAAGTTGCATTCCTTCCCATAGACTCCAGGGAAGAATCTGTTTCCAACCTTTTTTAGCTTCTAGAACTTGCCCACATTCCTTGGCTCTTGGCCCCTTCCTCTATCTTCACAGCCAGCAATGGCAGGTCATGTCCTTTTTTTTTTTTTTAAATATATTTCTTTATTGATTTCAGAGAGGAAGGAAGAGGGAGAGAGAGATAGAAACATTAATGATGAGAGAGAATCATTGATCGGCTGCCTCCTGCACGCCCCCTACTGGGGATTGAGCCCACAACCCAGGTATGTGCCCTTGGCCAGAATCGAACCTGGGACCATTCAGTCCACAGGCTGACACTCTATCCACTGAGCCAAACAGGCTAGGGCAGGTCATGTCCTTCTTATGTAGCATCTCTCTGAATACAGAGGGAAAGGTGTCCACTTTTTTTTGTCTCAACTTTTAAGGATCCTGTGATGACACTGGGCTCACCAGGAAATCCAGGATTGTCTCCCCATCCGAAGGTCCTTAAAATGCAAAGTGTCTCTGCCATCAAAGGTGACATAGTTACAGGGTCCAGGGATTAGGATCAGATGTCTCTGGTTGAGTTGGGCTTTCTCTTACTTATAGCATAAACATCCCATTACTGTGCATTTCTTCCCACCCCCCTCTTCCCCATGGTTCAGTCCAACTCCCAAGTCTCAATTTAAATGTCCTGTTCCTCTGAAAAGTCTTTCTTGGTCTCTCCCAGGCTGGGTCAGGTATGGCCTTGGGGTGTTCATCACAGCTCTGGTCACAATCAATTGTTACTGCCAATTTTCCTGTGGGGTCAGGGGAGAGAGAAGCCTGGAATGGTAAGCAGGGGCCATGGGGAGTCATGGTGGGTGTTTGAGCTAGGAGTAGCAGGCAAGGCTGAGGCTGGGTCAGGGTAGAGAAGAAAGTACAAATGGAAAAGACTTTAATGGGAAGGCAGAGGCTCCCCAGAGAGGGCCAGTGACTTGCTTGAGGTCACCCAGCACATGGCCTCTGGGGTGGGGAGACACGCCAGGCTAGGGAGCAGGAGGCCACTGGCAGCTGGCCTCTGTTTGGCATCCACACCGGGCTGACAATGACCTTTTGATTTGCACAGCCCAGGCCAGGGTGTCTGAGATCAGGTCTCGGCCAAGGCCGCACTGTCCAGCCCCCACACATCCTCGGTGAGAACACAGAGTTTTATCCCTGCTCCATTCCCCAACCAAGAGAGAATCTCCTCAGACTGTTAGAGGCCAAGGCCAAGTCCAGACAGCTGGCATCTTCCCTCAGTGCCTCTGGGCAGTAACGTAACCCTTGGCCACTGGCTAGAGGATATGGGTCAGGCTGGCAGCTAAGGTGGAGGAAGAGGTCTGGACTTGGCATCTGATGGCAGAAAGTATTGAGCATGCAGAACAGGTGTTGTGCTATGAGGCCACAGGGACCCTCAATTTCCACACCTGAAGAGGAGGCAGATGTAGGAATGGGTTGTGATGAAGCAGATGTGGCCCTGGGAGATACCCAGTTGTTCTCCATTTTTAAATTTTTCCTGAAAGCATTTACCACTCTTTGAAGTTATATATAAATTTATTTGCCTATGCGTTTGATTGGCTATGGCCCCTACAAACCATGAGCTCAGTGAAGACAAGACTGGGCCTGCCTTGGTCACCCTGGTAGCCCAGCACCCTACAACAGTCCCTGCCACCAGGAGGTGGTCATTCATTATTTCTTAGAAGCACCAACACAGAGGAGCTGCACAGAACCCATGAGCACTTTGAGGGTGCCCTGAACAATTTGGGAGGCCCCCAAGGTAGAAGGGATCAGTTCCACAACAGGAAGAGGATCTGGCTGCACCAAGGCCCCTGTGGACTCACTTCCCAGGTCCACACGGATGGACACCCATCATAAACTGCGGGACACCCAAGATTCCAGGGCACAGAACCTGAGCAGAGAGGAGGGAATTCCCCTAAGACAGTAAGTTATTGTGGGTGTGGCCCTGGCACACCTCTACAGAGGTCTGGGAGGGGTTGCACAGTCTCCCAGGGTGTGAGGGGCAAAGAAGAGGCACACGGTAGGCACTTTGGAAGTCTGATGCTATGATTATTGCAGTCAGCGATGTTGGGACCATTTGTGCCCCTGGTCTCTCCCTGCAGCCCCAGCTCCTCCCCTCCCCAAAACACTTGCTCACACCCAGCTGTGCCCACTGGCTAGAGCAGCCAGGAGCTAGGTGGTGGCCTGCGGTATGAGTAGCCAGTCTGGGGCTGAGGTCCCCCAGTGTGGGTATGGGGCCGAATAGGGATGGGAGGATCTCATATGAGCCATGCAAGTGACCACATGCAATCCACGAGGTGGTACACACTCCCCATGAGTAACCAGTTAGCTCAGCCACGGCCCTTCAGCTGAAGAACCCCACACTCACGGTGACGCCTCGAACTCACACCACGATCACAATTTGGCCCCCTTGCCTTCGCTACAGCCATACGAAGGCTCCCAGGTCGGGCCACCACCCACCAGCCGCCACCCCCGGTGGCCAGGCCC